TTTTTTTTTTTTTTTTTTTTTTTTTTGCTTTCTGGTTTTTCAAGACAGGCTGTAGCCCTGGCTACCCTAAAACTCACTCTGTAGATCAGACTGGCCTCGGACTCACAGAGATCTGCCTGTTTCTGCCTCCCAGCTGCTGGGAGTAAAGGCGTGCACCACCATAGTTGGGTGATTCTAAACGTTTTTAAGGCACAGCTCTCTAAACCGAGTTGAGGAACCCACATACCTAGGGGAAACAAGTGTTTCCCACCAAATGACGAGCCGCTCAGTTTCTGGTTGGGATGAGTCACAGTGACCAGCCCTCAACGTGTTGCCACAAAACTGGTACATGTCTTATTCCTGCTATAGAAAATCCAGGGCTAGCTGGCGGCTCTAACCACACAGGCGCTAATCTATGGCAGCATTCCTGATTGGCATGGCAGAAAGAAAATGGCAGCTCATCTACTGATTAAAACTTCATCATTCCAAAAAAAAAAGAAAAGAAAAAAACTTCATCTTTCCAAACCAAGCCCCTAACTACCTCTAACTTCAAAGGAGTAGAACCTTTGAACCCACCATGTGCTTGGAAGTGTAGTTATTTGGTGAATGGCAGAAATAAATGCTGCACTTCTCTTAGGTGAAATAAGACTGCATAGCAATGACAGCTTAAAACCGGGTGTTTCACTTTGAGTCAGGGGTTTTGCTTAAGTATTTTATATTTGCCTAAGGCATCTCAGCAACCAAGCGTTGGGGGAGGGGATCTTGTAGAGGATGCCTCATTGAGTAGAGCAGAGGGCAAAGACATGCAACACTGTCCAAAGGTGCCATTTGCACTATTAGCCTGTCCAAAACTTTAGGTGAAATAGTATTATGAGCTAAAACTTTCTGTTCTAACCTCAGAACAGAAGACCACTCTGGATTTAGGCAACACAGAGGTGACACACTCCTTCACAGATAGAGGCGACCTGCTCCTTTATGTGTATGAGCTGGGATGTGACTTCACATTCTAGGCCTCCAAAGTGTCTGTGGACACATTATGTCAGGAGACTGCACAGACAAAGGAGGTGCGAGCTCATTTGAAAATACATTAGTTCAAGATCATTTCTTCTCCTCCAAATTCAGTTTATTTTTAGAATTTGAAATTAATTTGAAAGCCCGTTCTGTAGGGCTTTCATGATGTGGTGACAGATCAAAATGGAGAAGATAGTGTCCCAAGCCGTGGGAGATGACATAGTGGCCTGCCCTAAGCCGTGATGGGCCACCCACAAGCCGGGACAGCAGGCCATCAAGCCTTGATGATGCACTGCTACCCCCACCACCACCATGAGGAACCCCAGGCGAATCCAGGCAGCCCCTGGACCCCATCCCCCACCAGCTGTGCAGATACACCCTCAAGAGCGTTGGGCCCCTGAAGCTTAAAGTAGCAAACTGCCAGACTCTCCTTCCTGCCTCAGGGCAATCAGTCTCTCTTCTTCCCACCCTGGGGCTGTGGAAATGGGAGACAAAACGGTGGCTCCTATCAACACCTCATGAGCTGTCCATCGTGACTATTCCTGCCTCAGTCTACTGCTATGGGAACCTTTCCCGCCTCAGAATGCCCACTGCTATTAACATGGGAGCTGCTCATGATGGCGACAGCTTTTCTTGCTTCAGCCTACTTCTTTCACAGTGGATGCTTTGTAACTTTTGGACTCTTTGTAAACTTCATAACCTCTCCAGGCAGAAGAGTGGCCAGACCCCTGCCTGAAGAAGCTCCAGCAGCCTAGCTCCCCCAAACCCAGGCCTCTGTAACTGTCATCTCCAGCCCCTCAGTACAACTCATCCCAGATTATGCTACTTTGAGGTGAAAAGGCTGGACAAAAACCCACCACATAACTCATCCCAGATTATGCTACTTTGAGGTGAAAAGGCTGGACAAAAACCCACCAATCCCTGAGCAGGCGAACTGACCAATTCCTGAGCTTCCCACTAAAACCCACCAATACCTGAGCAAGAGAACCAACCAATCCCGGAATAAGAAAGCCCACCAATCCCTGAGCTCCTCAAGCTCAGGACCTGAAATCTCACCCATCCACACTCTGGAAATCCCTTCTTTAGAAATCCTTACTTTAGAAAGCTATATAAAGGCTGTGTCTGCCCGGTTCCTGGCTACCTTCTCCCAGAGCAGAGGTAGTCACTCATGGATTAGTTTTTCCGACAAATCTCCCTTAAGAGATTTACTGCCTTGTGTGACTTTTCATCAGGAGAAGCGATAAAGAAGAGAAGAAGAAACAAGGAAGGTACAGAGTTCAGGCTCCTAGGCTTCTCAGCTCATCATGGTTGGGGCAGCCCTCACCTGGGAGCTGTAACATCTCTGCTGAGGAGGCCTCCTCCCAAAACTGTGTGGTTCCTGGGCTCCCTGCCTCAAGCTACCCTTGGGACTCTGTCCTACCCAGAGCTGGGATCCTTCCCAGGCCTCTGAGTTGTGAGTGTCCTCTCAGACATCCTCCAACCATATCAAGAGGGTAGGTCACTATCAACAGCAACATAAAACAACACATTCGCCCTAGACTTTGTCATCAAAAATTACATGTTATAGAACTTACTAAAACAAGGATGAACCTTGTTAAGTGCTGGTAGTACATGCCTGTAATACCAGCACTTAAGAGGCTGACGCAAGAGGGTTGGTGCAAGTTCAAGATCAACTTGAGCTACGTAGTAAGACTTTGTCTCATGAAACAGTTGTATCTTGGGACTTCTTATAGGCCATATCCCTTAAATATAAACACTATGTCCAGTCAGGTAACGATACTTTTTTTTTCCTTTTTGGTCTTTTGAGATAGGATTTCTCTGTGTATTGGCTGGCCTGAACTCACTTTGTAGACCAGGCTGGCCTAGAACTCAACTATCCATCTACCTCTGCCTCCCTGAGTGCTGGGATTAAAGGCATGTGCCACCATATTCAGCTATGACTTTTTTTCAGGGTGGCCTGCGCCTCATCCTTTGTGATGTCATCATTATAGGGGGTTCAGTCTTAGTAGAAAACAAGATTAGATTGAGCCCTAAACAAGTAGTAACCTCATCACCTCATCTTGAAAGGGCTTGATTCTTGCTGGACAAACTCAAAAAGGAAAACTTTCTAGACTTGAGAAGTACTTGAAGAAGAGCTGGACAGCGTGGTCAGTTAGACTCCCACCCATAGAAACACTGGCTTCAAGATTTACTTCAAATCAGACTTGGAGAGCTCAGTTGGCAAAGTGCCTGTTATGCAAGTATGACGACCTGAATTCACTCCCCTAGCACCCATGGCAAAGCTGGGCTGTATACGTATCTGTAACCCAGAGCTCAAACAGGCAAGGAATACAGCAGACACAGGAGAATCCTTGGGAGCTTGAGAGCCAGCTGGCCTGCCATGTGCAGCTGCGGACAACAAAGAGGCCTTGCCTCCCGCAGGGTGGGAGCTGAGGACCTGACACTGGAAGCCAAACACTCTGACCTCCATATGAGTACCATGGTGTGGAAGTGCGTGCAGTTACACAACACAAATCTGCACAAGCGCACACACACACATATCACATACCCATGAGAGTTAAAACACACAGGCATTCTCAGAGGCTTGTCTCCTAAGTGATTGCAAGTTGACAGTGATGAACAATCTCTTGGTAAAGACACCCTTAGCGAGCTCAGGCAGCTTTTGTGAAAAGATTGGAAAGAAGATGGCAAAAGTCATAGGCATATCTAGGTTAACGGTACTGGACAGACACAGGAGATATGAAAGCGATGGCACAATACTTAGCCGGTGAGCCTTATAGAAAGGGAATTGGTGATAGTGTGGAAAAACCGAGGTAGTATTACATAGCAACCTGCTTCCAGATTAAACCTTCCAACTCGGAAGGAAGCTCCTTAAGACTCAGGATGCTCTGAAAGGAGGCAAAACATTCCATTCTGCAGTAACTTCCTTAAAACACAGGAAATAACAACTCAATAGTTTCAGAAAGCCCCTGAATATAACTAAATTCACTAAGCTCATGCTTCCAAGTTTATATACACAGAATGCTGAGAGGCACTCGTAGACTAGCATAGCCACCTCGAGACTCTTAGACCAGCCAAGCTTCTAGGGAGAAGCAGAGACCAGCTGAGCAGCAGAGGGGAGGTTCTCAGACTTTGAAACTGCCTGTAAATTGTACAGAGAGCTCCGGGGTGATGTCTTTTGTGAGTCATCATCCATGGTGGCATGGTCTTTTCAGGAATACAGCTGTCTTTGAGCCATCCCTGCTCCTTCTAAGCAGCCTCTCACCTATACCCTATTTGTCTAGAAACACTGGTTCACTTTGGCCTGCCATGGTTTCCCTGCATGGAGTGAGTAGTGTGTGTTTTGTCTCCCCAGGAAGTCTCTCACATGACAGGTAGAGGTAAATAAGAGGAGAGAAACTGAGACAAATGGTGGCTTAGTAAGGAAGCAAGTAGGAATGCATCGTCAGTTTCTTTGTAGTCACAGAAGGTTTAAGCTCAGCTGTGATCTGGCTGCAGCATAACACAGGATCAAAGGCTGCTGTGTTCAATAGACAGCACAGAAGGTGAGAATGGAGATGACAAAACCTCCCATTGTTACCCATTGTTGAGGCTTAGAACAGGGCGGAAGGCCTGTTCATGACGTAATTTGAATATAGCTGCCATATTCTGAGTGTCCCCTAAAAGCACACATGCTGGAAGCTTAGTCTCCAGGCAGTGACTTTTGGGTGGGAAAGTTTGCTTGGCCTCCATTAAGCCAGCAAGAGGAGGAAAGCTGATAAAGTGGGACCCCGAGGGAGGTGATTAGCTCATTGATGTGGGTCT